GAGATGAAATCACAGCAGTGGGCATAATTTGTAAACACTAAGCATTGTAAGGTGGACTTTTTAGGAGCCTGATTTTCTGCTTTCTGTTAAATAGATGGCTACTTCTAAGAAGTTTGTGATGCTTTTTTCTAGTATGATATGGACAAAATATTTCATAGAATGATCTTATTGTAACTTTTTATGTTAAACATTTCTATACATTTTTGGAAAGGGTACGTTTGCAAAAACCAAGATGCTTATTTAGATCTAAAAGAATAAGAAATCTTCCTGTGCCATTAATAAGAACACATTGCAGTTTCCATTCGTATTTCTAGATATTGTTTTCCACATATGGTCCTTGTTTCCATTATGTGGGAACATAAAATTGTTAGTTACAGAATACTGAATGATATTACTTAAACTAATGGTTTTCTCAGTTTTTCCTTTGTGCTTTTTAGAAGTCATGTTGCATGGAATAAACAGAGTATGAATGGTTGCATTCTTACTGCCTTTGTAATGTGCTCTTGCTTCCACTTTCAGTGCTGGTGTTCGCTTAGCAAATATTTATCTTCCATTATAGAGGACTTCGGAGCAGAAACTGTAGTGCTCATGAGTTTAAATTATAAGTACTTTTATAATCATAGTCAAGTAGAATAGTTAAATGGGTGTACACAGGAAACAGGACATCTGACTTGCTTAGACTTGAGTTGAGTGATGCAATATTTAAATGAAGATATTATAAATCAGGTTTAGCATTACTTCTATCCTTGTATTCAATGAAGTGAACTTGCTAGTTCTTCTGCATGAACTAGTGACAAAGGCATCTATACAGCTTTTACAAAATAATTGCACGTTGCTAATTTACATACTGGTGGAGCAGTGTAGCTAATGAGTTTTCTATCAAAGCATGTTTTTATATCTCTAAATATATTGCAGATTTGGAGAGTGCAGTACCTTTTTACACAATCATAACAGTGAGAGAATATAAATGTGGCTTTGTTTTGTTGACAAAATGTGAAAATGTAATTGTAATATACAAATTCAAATTTTGAAACAACAGTAAATCATCTGATTCTGGGATGTTTTCTTAAACCAGAACAACTCTGAAGGAGATTTATTGAAAAGCTTCCGAGTAATTTAAAAAATTCTGTTTAGTATTTTTTTTTCATCTTTACAGAAACTGACTTTTGTAGACTCGATACATTTTGCACTTTTCTTATTTTATAACTAGAGGACATTTTCTTTTTCACTCGTGTAAGCACCCTGTTGCATGCGCCCTGAGCAGGTCATCTCTCTGTGGTGTTGGAGCCAGTCCCTCATTTGTGAGATCTTGCTTGAGAGCCCTGCACTGCCACCCAGAGAGGGTGACCCCAGAGGTGTTTTGGGTGTCCTGAAGGAGTGATTGGACCAGTTTGCCCCACAGATGAAGTTGTATAAACTCCAGTAAACTCTGGTAATTGCTGATTTCCACTTTATGACTCAGTAACTGGTCTAAGCCAAAAGGGTATTTTTGACTGCTCCAGAAAATGCTTTAAGACTGTGTTACTGCTGTTGCATAGGGAATTATGAATATCTGATCACTGGCTGCGATTGAGAAATACAACTTGACCAAGCTGTGGATACAGTTACCCTTGTAATGTCGATGTAGTAGTACTTGAATTCAAATCAGTGCTAAGTTTGGTCCAGTTTCTTTTGTATTTAGCAAACAGTGCGTGCGAGCTGACTCTTATACAACGTGTGTTCATTGTAGACAGAACACAGAGCACGAATTTAAATGTGAACATTTATGCAGTTTGGGTGTTTCCATGTTATTTGGTTGGTTAATACATAGAATTAGTTGTCAAAATTTGGAACCATAAATAGCTGTGGATTTTCTTAACTTGTAAAATCACTAGCTTCAATGGTGTGGTGTTGGTTTTTGTTTTTTTTTTTTTTTTTAATGGTGTAACTAATCTGTACAAAACGTGAGTATTGCCCTCCCCCCTAGACCTCTCTTCCCTCCCAAGCCTTCCCCACCAAATCCTTGATTTATGTGAAACCTTTAATAGAGTAAAAGGGCCTCAAGAGAAGGACTGCTCTGTGAAGTTTGGAGAGGGCTTTAATGAAAAGTTTCATTGTTATTTCATATTTACTTACCAAATCCTGCCAGAGTAAATTCTTGCCAAACTAGTTTTATGTATTTCTTGTCTGGTCTTGCTAATATATTGTTTTGTGTCAGGACCTTGTCTGACAGGAAAAGCGACCAGAGCAGTTCAGGCTATGGCATAACAAATAGGTGATGCAGGAAAAAATGAAGTCTATCTACAACTTCTTAGGCAATATTGAGAAAGTTTTAAAGGAACTAATTAGCAAAAGGGATGCAGCTTATATATCAAAGCTATTTTTAATGTAGATTGTACATGCTGAAATAACACAATAGTGCTTTAGAAGTGGGCGTTTCTACTATTGATTCTGTAATCGTGAATGTTTTCTTACGTTTGCCTTGGAGGTGGGAAATACTTGTGGTAGGAAGAAAAAAATAAGGATACAGGAATACTGAAGTTGTAGTTTCAGTTTTGGTGCTGTTTATTTTGATGGATGCAGTCAAGTCCCTGAGCCAGTATTGCAGTTATCTGTTTTTAATGTTTCACTAAGAAATGTAATGTTTCAGTTTTAATTGTTCAGTAAGAAGATTAAGGGATGCAAATAAAAATGGTGAAATGTGTGACATATGAGGAATCTGACTCCTACGGCCCAAACTAGGTTTCCCATTTCTCGTTTTGCAGTGAAGCCTGACTTATGATTCAATTCTGATTTGGCTTTGAGGTGGAGAAACTAGCAGAGGAAACTTGAATCAAGTCCTTTAGAAATGCAGGATGCTTCATAGCTCATCAGTTTGGTTGTGTCTTCAAAGCCTGGGACGTCCCAACTGTGTGTCCATCTCTGGTATAGATATGAGAGGCCAAGGTAATTTTTGTGATGGGCTGGAGGATGAAGAAGGGTCCTCTTTTCTGTTAGTTTGAGAGCAGAGTTTACAAAGGCATCTCTTCAGTGGACTTCCCTTTGGAACTTGTTAAGGAACTTTGAAGGATTTCTGGTGTACACAGAAGGCTTTTTCCAGCCCTGTCTGTAAGCGTTAGTGGAGTATTCAAACTTAACAAAAAGTTTATCCTAGTATTTTCATTGCATACCTTTTTTACAGAGTAAATTTCTGTATTATGTAGCAATGTGTGCACCTCTGTATGCATGACTGTGAATAACATAGTACTATTTTTAATTTTTCCTGAATTTTTACTCTAAAAAAAATGAATGCTGAATTATCTCCTATAATGTGCTACAACAGTAAGTGCTGTTTGGGGAAAAGCCATATATTAGGAAAATCAGTTAATTGTATAATAAATACTTCCTTAGAAGAAATGTAAGGTAATGATATTTAATACTTAGAGAAATTAGAGAAAAAAAATCTGTAATTTAATTTCTGAAATGCCTAGCCTAATGACTGTAAAATGTAAGCCTGAAATCTGATCATCTGATGATGATGATTTACAGCAGTATTTAAGGTGGATGTACTTATACAAACAATGAAGTAAGTTTCATGGTTATCTAATTTCTCCAAAATCTTTGACATATGCATATATATCATGTGCAAGGAAACGGAATTCTAGGATATAAAAACCAAAATGAATATCCCTTGATGTTCTTTCATGCAGCATGCTGTCAAAGATTTTGTGCAGCATGGGCCTGTCAAGATTTAAAAACACATATGGATTTAGAGGAGTTCTGGTGGTCCCATTTATTGTCCTGTTCCATCCTTTAAGAAATCAAATTATTTTCAAGTTCTTTAAAGGTGGAGGTTTTTCTTTGGGGGGGGAGCTTGTTGTTGTGGTGGCATTGTTGTTGTTGGTTTTTTTTTGGTTTTTTTTTGTTTTTTGAGTTTGGGTGGGGTTTTTTCGGTTTGGGTTTGGTTTTGAGTGGTTTTTTTTTTTCCTTACTTCTAGACACTGATGTCTGAAAAGACTGCGATGCTAATTGCTATTTTTAGGAAGTCAGGCACTTCACAAGATGTTGCAAGTTTGAAGGTCTTCACATTAGTCATTTTCTGTAGTCGTGCCTGCTCAGTGAAAAGCAAGGAAGCTCTCTTACTGCTAGACACTTAACAACAGCCCAAGGTGTTGGCACTGTTATGGGGGAGTATTGGAGAAGCAAGAAAAGATTATTTATCATGTTAAGTTTGTGTGTTTACAGTGCAACCTTCCCCTGCTAGAAAAGAAACCTTTTAAGAATAGCATGTTGAGTACTAAACAGTACACAGGTTATGTAGCAATATGTAGAAGACACTTTGTGGACAAAACCTTATTCTGTACGGTTTCCTTTTGTCTGAAAAGTTGTAATGAAGACTATAAAGCCAGTCTTCCCAGTTACTGGTAGACACGTATACACACAAAACCACGCACACATACATATATGCATGTATATACACTTATATATGTGTCTGTATGTATGTGTGTGTATATGTATCTTTTTTTAATTAAAATGTGGAAAGTGTTTGTCGTATAAGATTTAGATACCTATCTATCAACTCTACCAAAGCACAGGTAGAAAACCTTTCGATATCATTTAAATATTTGTTTGTACCCTTTATAGCTGTCTTGTAAAAAAACCTCCACGCTTTACAGCTGTCCTGTTATATTTTCTGCCTGTTGACCACTATCCGAGATACTTTATTTTGAGGATGATGTATTTTCCTTTTATATAGTGCATATATTCTGTAACACTGGGAATGCTGTTCCTGTACGTGTCAGTAATGGGACTGTGACTCATGCAGGGCTGATAATAGTGGGAAGAGTATGTATCCCATCTAGGGCGATTTAAAAAAAGAACTTGACTTTACATCTCAATTTACATTTATTTACAAGAATATTACCTAAATGGATGTTTTAATGTCGAGCATTTGTAGGACTGTGATGTTAACTATATTGTGGAATATCCTTTTTTCTGTTGGTGTGTGATATCTGATAGTATTTTCTTCTTCTTTTATGCAGGATCCAAACTACTGGATACAAGTACATCGACTGGAGCATGGGGATGGTGGGATCTTAGATCTCGATGACATTCTTTGTGATGTAGCCGATGACAAAGACCGTGTAAGTACAAATAGCTACTAAAGCAGCTCAGCATACACGTCAGCATATCAGTGTTTGGTGTTTCCTATATGTGTCCAAAAGTGGGAGTCAATACAGAAGTTTTAGGGGTTTTTTATATAGTTTGCTTGACAGATGTGAGAAGTCTGTTACTGTTGTGTTTTTCAAAAAGTACAGGAAATCTTTTATTGAAATCATGGGTTTTCCATCCTTTTTTGTTCTTTAAAAGTTCAAGTAAGAAAAGGAGGCTCCAAGAATAAAAAAACCTCATACAGTGGAACAATAATGCAAAAAACTTGAATCTGTAAGTTAAGATTTTAGCTTCATGTTATGAGTTGAATATGTGCAAAAAACCATGCTGTTTTTAAACTGTGGAGGGTTGATGGATTGTTTTTCAAAAATCTTTTTGGGAGGAACTGCTATTTACACAGAACTTGAGAAAATAATTACATACTGCTGGGTCTTCAGTGCTTTTACTATTTTTTTTTTTTTTTTTTTTTTTTTTTAAAGTAGAGGCTTAGATCTCAGTCAGCTAAGAGGTTTTTGGTTATTGGCTGTTTTTTTGAGGTTATAGATACTTGCATCTTTGAATTACATGTTCAGAAAGGGTAGGTAAGAAACACTGTGGCAAACTTTAAAATTGTAGGTAAATACCCCGGTTTTCTCTGCAAAGCTGCATGTGTTTGCTGAAGCTCTTGAGAGCGTCTGAGCCTGATACAGGCTTCAGTCTGGAAATGTGTTTCAGGACCCTGCTCCTTCACAGACAGGATCCTTAATTGCCTCTGTTGGAAGCAACAGGCACTCTGAAGGCTCCTTGAAAAATGGCCAAATGATGACTCTTAGGCTAATTTTTCAGAAATAAATACTTTGCCTGCAGTTATTTCTTGTGACAAAATTTAATTGACACGGTTATTTCAACCAGGACTTTATAAAGAAAAATTATGTGAGGAGTCTTGGGACATGGAGACTCCTCGTTGTCTGAAATGTTGGGATTACTCAAGCTGTATAGAGTAACAGTGCTGATTTTTCAGGAATTTCTTCCATAAAAATAGTGCCCAGCTAAGATTTCATGAAAAGCTAATTAAAACCTCTAGTTAGTTATTTCATACTGAAGTGCTCAGCTGCATGATTCGTTTAGCTTTTGCTTACAGGCCTCAAGGAGGCTGGTGCAAGTTGTTGCTGTGTGTATATATATATATATATACACACACATATATGTGTGTGTGTATATAGAATTTTTTTTTTCTTTTTTTTTAAACTTACTTGAGTCATGCACTTCTTAGCTCCTCACGTGCTCTTCCCTTCAGATGGAGAAGTTTGCATTCTGGTGACTTGAAGACCTCATTCTTTGGCTGTTACCTTGCCTTGCTGCCTTCAAGTGGGGTAATTCCTCACAGTGAAACTCTGTGGGTGTTTTTATGTGCGTGACTAATAGTTGAAAAACTCTGACTGCAACTGAAACAGGCAAAGTCATTATTATAATATTGTTTTTATGTATAGATGGACAAGATACCTAGCAATTAGTAATATTTATTTCTGCACTTGCCAAGCTCATATCCTCTTGATTCTGTGAATCTGGCACGTCTCTACTGATAGCACTTACCAGTTAAATTTCTTTTTTTTAAAGGACCTTGTAGCATTGATTAGGATGGTGCAATATAAACATGCACTGTCCTGTGCTGGTTTATACCCTTGAATTAATCGTTTTCACTTGACCTTCATGTTTGATTCTTTTCAAGCATTTCAGTCATTAGTCACTGTTTTTCAGTTTCCCGTCTTATGTTTTACAGCTGACCTTCCTCGTTCTCTTTAGTTTTGGATTGTTAGCTTTGCATTTGATGCTTCCTCCATAGCAAGTATATCAACTAGATTTGTGTTAGCAGAACCTGATATAGGTCTCATTAATGCAAGGTTCTGAATATATTTCCAGTTAGTGGTATTTTGTATATATATACACTTAAGCATATCTTGTTAAAAAGCATTTAAACAGATGATGTCTAAGCATTTAATTAAATTATTACTGAGGTCTGTAGGATTAGTTATGCTCAAAATTAAACATTAGCCCATATATTTTTTTTTTAAATTGGGACAAAAATATCTAGGATATTGCAAAACTGAACACTTAATATCTCTGTGTTCGTTTTCACAAGTCCTTTACATTCTTGAAGACAAGTTTATTGTGCTATTTACTACCTATCGTCTCTACTTTTGAAAATCAGTTTGCTCTTATCATGGTTCTTTAGATGTAAGGATCATTCCTACAGTGATAAATGTAATTTTTGTCTTTTTTATGTTGCTTTTATGCCATAATTGTTTGTACAGTGTCATACAAGCAGAACACAGAATGCGAATCAGCTAAGGACCAAGTTGTCCTCTTGATGAATTTATTGCTCTGTATAGTCAACTATATTAGTAAACTAAAACCTAATGTGAAGAATATATTTACTCCTGCTCCACTGTCTCCATGGAGGAAATGGTCTATCCTATAACAAATACAAAGACCCTTAGAGGCAGCACATGTTCTGAATGGAATAAGAGCAGTATCTTTGATGGTGTTGGGTGACTTTATTTAGCTTCTTCTGTCCCTATATTTTGTTATTCTCCTGTCACTTACTAAAACAAAATGGATGAGTAAGGGTTAACCAGTTGCTCCCTGGAATAGTTAGTGGTGGTCAATGTTGTTCTCCCTTAAAAAAAGGAGAAAAACATGAAACAAACTACATGGAAAAATTGATATTGCTAAGCTGTTTGTTCCTTTCTGAAGCAGCTTTTCTTAAGCCTTTTAACATAGTTCATTGAGAAAGTGCATAATGCATTCTTACTTAGCTGGCATGCAAGTTTGACATTCGTATTACACAATATCACTACACATCAAGTTGCTGATGAAAACTTGGTTAATGCAGTTAATGGTAGTAACGGTATTAAACAAAAAATTAATAAATGCTCATTTGGATAATTTTTTTTGTGGAAAACTGTTTTGTGATTGTTGCCTTGAAGTGCAAATTTTCCCAGGTTTTATTACGGAAAGATAGTTTTCAATGGAAATATATCAATGTTTTTTTATATTTATCTGTCTCTGTATACATACATACAAATGGGTTGTCTTGTTTTTGTTGTTTTTGAAAAATATTTGGCTACAAGCAACAAGAATCTGTTTTCAACTAGTGGCATCCATTCCAGTCCTAAATCTGAGCATGTTTGGTATTGTTTGAGGAAACTCTTTGAAAAGCTTGAGCAGATGAATAGCCAATATCTCTTTTCCAGAAATAAAGGAGAAATAACTCCCTTTTAACTTGCTTTTAGTCAACTGCATAACCTATTTTCATTTTTTAAAAAATATAGGTTTCTTGTGCATTTAGTGATTAGAACAATGTTTTAAACATAGATTAACAAACTGTTCTGTTTGGATGTCTGTTACTTGTAAAAGTGGCCCTTTGTTTGAAGGCTCTCAAAAAACATATGTCAACTTGACAAGTTTCCAGCTTGATGATAACATACTTGATGACCTCAGTTCAGTTCTTAGTAGGCAGACATTCTCAACAGGGAAAAAAGCCCCAACCATCCTTAACCATGGCTTCTCCTGGCTGACTGAGGCACAAACACACTTCAGTGATCCTCATACTTTGGGTGTAATATGAAAGTACTTACTCAGGGATCTCATAGGCCCTTGTTTATCCATGGAAAAAATATTCAGGAAATTGTTGTGTAATCTCCCATTTTAAAAGTACATGTATGAATATAACTAGCTCCCAGTTGAATTCTCACTGAAATAGTCCCTTGTATTTTGCACGATTCAAAGAAATTATTTCATGTGCAATTATATGTAATTTTTTCCTACATAGTAATGTTCAGGCTGTTGCTCAGTGAAAAGCTTTGGAGATCAAAATGTCTGTGTTTGGTGTAACTACATTTCTGAAAAATCAGAGGCTTTCCTTCCAAAGAGAATAACAAGGATCTGCCATTAACAGCCACTGTTTTTGATGAGCAGCTAGGCAAATAGAGCTAGTTTGAAACAATGTGGGGTATGAACCTAATGTCAATTATTCATAAATTCATTTGTCCAAATGTATTAGGTTTTTGGTATCTTGGGATTTGCAACCTGTGAATGTAAAAGCATCAGCATCTTACCATTTCCTTCATCATGGTCCTAATAAATTCAACACTCTAGTTCTCAAAAGTAACTACTGTATTTTGGTGTATGCTTAGAGTAACAGCCTGGGTTTATTTCTCTAAACTAAGGAATGAGCTTCCTTTGCTCAACTTACTGTTTTCAAATATTCAGTCAGCTCTTCACCCTGCATAATTCATTACGCCCACTGAGTGCAGAGATAAAAACCGGAGGAATATGGTTTGGTATTGTCTGGAGTGAAGTTTCGTGCTCACCACGGTGTTTGTGTGTGTGGTGTTAGTATCTGGCCCAGGTCACTGTGAGATCAAGGTGATGTTGGTGCTTACTGCTGGTTAGACATACTTTGAACCTCTTAGAAAGACACACAAGAAGTTGCTATTTGGAGTGGAATACTGTTGGTGAGAATGGGATGGAGATTAATTTCAGAGATCTGTGCTGAAATTGAGTTTGTAAACATTCGTGGTCTAGAGTTAACTACATTAAGTAATCAAATTGCTGCTGAAATTCAGTGAGATCTATTGCACTTCATTTGCATCTGCTTTTAGAGACCTACAGAGACTCTATTAATATTATTATGAATTTAGTGCCCACTTGCTTCTGCCGTGATGGGATAAAGTCTTTGAGCAGCTTATTCACATGATATGAAGGCTTATTAGGAACTTTTCCCAGTGTAGTGGAAAGGAAACGAACTTTTGGTTTTTGTGTTAAACAGATGGTCAATTCTAAATAATACTGTTGTTTTGTTTACTTCCTCTTGGAAAGCACTGTTGAGTTAGAGAGGCATGTGATACACAAAATGTGGGTTTGGAAAGGATGACTGTATTTTGTTTGTAACAAATGTTAACTTGAAACCAATGCAAAAATAAGTCTATTT